GTATTTTACTTTTGATAGCCAGTAAGCTGTCTTAAAAATTTCGGCTCTTCGAAAATTCATACCGTTGATAAATTTCTCGTGCACATCCTGCTTTTCAACCTTCCAACGATATAACCTTTTTTTAAATGTTTCCGTGTGAAACTAGAGCTGTCACACGGAAGCAATTTCTCATATTTGGGGACCACAAAATTTGAGCTTCCAAATAGTATCGCAAATTTGTTGAAAACTAGTTGGTTAATAAATTTTCATGGTTGTGGGCCTTTTTTTCCGCATTTCAAGTAATCGTAGGTTTTTTTAAATTGCTTCCATGCAACAACTTTCACAGGAAACTGTAAGATGCATCTTTCTGCGAAGCGCTAAAACTGGTCTAAAATGTCAAATTTCATAGGCCATCAGAATATCTATTCCTCTTTGCACCGCTTGCGGAACCAGCATTCTGATCGTAGTAGTGTTGTTTTGAATTATGGGCCTATGTATATCTTTATTTAGTTACATTCAAGCGTCGCTCATTCGTCGCGCTTGTCATTTTCTTGTGGCATGCTCAAACATGACGCGCTGATGGGACCCTAAACAAGAGGGCGATTGCCCCTTTGTCACAGAGGACCGTAGGGGTTCTCGAGACGACCACCCACCATCACCACCAAGCCTTAGGGTAGTCCCCCGATACGATCCCCTCCCCGTCCACCCCGTCATATCAGAGCTGCTTCTAGAGCAGTTGATTCTGCCCACCACTTAGCCCAAAGTTAGCCTACTTTTCCTCCAGTGCGGTCTTCAGCAAGGGGGAGGGAAGGGGGTGAGAGTAAATATGGCTAAAAAACGGCACATAATGCAATTTTGTCTATCGCTTCTTCTTCTTTAATGAAGTTATGAAGTAGTGTGTAGCGGAACGTGCGAACGTTCGACTGTTTTCTTCGACTAGCGAACTAGTCGAAGAAAACAGTCGAACACGACATCCTTTCCCGTCACCAGGGCCCCTTCAACTTTCGAAAATATGACCCTTTCAACTTATTCATCCCCTCAAACCCAAACACGATTCCCCCGTTGAGAACTGCGCAGTGCACAGTTATTCCTGCCCCTGCTTCTTCCGTGGACCAAATACGACCACTTCGTTGATAAATGACCGACCGACGCTCGACCCTGGTGGCGACTATGTGACATTACATTAAAGTTTAAAGTCAAGGCTTATCCAATAACGCCCACTAATGCAAATCGTCCATCTGAGGTAAGAGCAATGTGTATCCTCACTAACATTCGTGCCCCATTTATTCTGAAAACCTCACTCTCGAGAAAAGCTGAAGAATTTTACCTTCACAGTATGGCCCCCTCTCTCAATTACGTCGTCAATTACCATTTGCTAGTCGATTAATTTCCTTTTCAGGTTCCACCAGATCCAGAACCAACTGAGATGAAAGCTGAAACATAAGTTTCGAAGGATTTAAACTTGTTTTTTTATTCTTATCCTTCAGCTGTACATATATATCTTAAAAGTATTCAGTTGTGTAGAAATATGTGGTAGCTTTAGAAGGATTTTGTTGTTGTACACAAATATGTCATAGCCGAAGTATAGCTTTTTATTTTTTTGTCAAAATGTTGTATATAAATTCAAATGTGAGATATCCCCACCCAGTATCGTACAAGTGTGGTGTTGCTGACGTTGAACCTCGCCACATCTGCCATCTCTTGTTTGGTAGTATAATAGTACCTATGTTGTTTCTACGTTGCTGACATTTTTTAGACCCTTGTTGCTCCCTCATATACATATGACTCTCTGTGAAGTGCGCTTCTCACCGCCTCTTGACGTGAACTGCCTTTGAAAGGTACCGTCTCGGTTTTCCACACTCTTAACCACTCTGATGTCTGGAATGGCCCAAGATCGGGTATTGACCAGTTCAAAGAGGAACTTCTCAGCGTTTCGGCTCTCCAGCTTCCCGTACAAGGCGTCCATCTCTATTCGTTGTTAGTATCACAGCAGACCTAGCAATTCTGCTACCCTTGATTTTGTAGACAGCGGGATCCTCTGTCCTGGACCGGGCACACTGACATGACGTTTGTATGCATCTCTTTTGCTGGATTGATTCGCTGGAGCTCCCACGTTCCGTACCCTAGAAGCACGCCCTTCCTTGACTACCCTCACGTCTTCAGAGTATTGATGTATCTGCCATTTCACGTCGACTCTGAGGTGATCTACGTTGTTCATATGCCGAAGCTACCACATACGCTTCTTCATCGGGTTTGGATGACAGATAGATTACTAGAAGCTGAATGAGCAGCTCTGATACTCATGACTCTTCCGACTAGCGTTTCAGATAATTTTGTAATAGTCCACGATCTGTCGATTGCTTCATTGGACTCGAACCGTGTAACTCGTTCCAGGTTCCTGTATCCCTGTCGTCCCGTTGATCATCGAATTTGCTCGAGCGGGCGCCAGCAACGTCTCCATTCGTCCCTGTCGCGTGCAAGAGTTGTCCAGTGGACCCTCCTCGCTCGAGGGACACGATGTCCTTCATTCCTTTCGTTCAGAGCTTTCGTGAAGAAGTCTGACCATCGGGCCGGCGGTCGTCCAGGTGTTGCCAGCCATATCATTGTTCGACTATAATTTTGATAAGGTATTCCACTTCAAGCGCGTATCCTATACTTTACCATGGAATGCGTTATCTCAAGAATAGCCCTTTGCTGATGAAACTACGTGCTGCGCCATTCCGGGGTATCCCCTGTATCACCTGTCGTCCCGTTGATCATCGAATTGCTCGAGCGGGCGCCAGCAACGTCTCCATTCGTCCCTGTCGCGTGCAAGAGTTGTCCAGTGGACCCTCCTCGCTCGAGGGACACGATGTCCTTCATTCCTTTCGTTCAGAGCTTTCGTGAAGAAGTCTGACCATCGGGCCGGCGGTCGTCCAGGTGTTCGTTTGATCCGTGTTCGAACTATTTGATTTATGATAAGTAATTCCACTTCGAGCGCGGATCTATAACTTTTTCCATGGATGCGTATCTCAGAGAACTAAGCCCTTTGCTGCTTGTGAAAATAGTTACAGCAGCAGTTACGGGGGGCAGGATCCCCTGTCACCTGTCGTCCCGTTGATCATCGAATTGCTCGAGCGGGCGCCAGCAACGTCTCCATTCGTCCCTGTCGCGTGCAAGAGTTGTCCAGTGGACCCTCCTCGCTCGAGGGACACGGTGTCCTTCATTCCTTTCGTTCAGAGCTTTCGTGAAGAAGTCTGACCATCGGGCCGGCGGTCGTCCAGGTGTTCGTTTGACGTCCCGGTGTGGTCGGTCCGGTAACCACTTCTATCTAACGGGTAATCAAAAATGATGATGTGATGCGGCCAACCTGATTCTATCATTCCTATATTGGCGAAAAACGGCAGCGTCCCTGATCTTCGATCGTTGGCGTAGTTCGGCACTCCGGATTCCCCTCTGCACTTGCGTGTATAGGGTTACTCCTAGCATCGTCCTCTCGACAGCGCGTTGGATAACGCTGACCGCATGCTCGTCCTGCCTGCGCAGAGTCCAAGTCTCTGAGGCGTAGGTTAGGGCAGGAAGGACAGCCGGATGTTCTTCGTCTTCTTCACTACTCCCTCGATGTTCTTATACGCTCCCCAAGCCGCTCGTTTCCTCCTGCTCAGCTCTGGAGCTAGATCGTTCATCATATTGATTTCCCGACCTAGGTACACGTAGCTGGAGCATTCGGTGATGTTCGTTCCGTTGAGCGTGAATGGGGCATCAGGAACCAATCCGTTTCTCATAAACATCGTCTTCGTTAGGTTCAGCTGTAGACCGACCTTACCACAGGCGCAGTCGAAATCAGCCAGCATTCGCTCCGCTTGCTCGATGTTCGGCGTTATAAGAACGATGTCGTCAGCAAAACGAAGGTGGTGTAGTTGCCGGCCGTCGACCTTCACTCCCATGTCTTCCCATTCCAGTTGACGCATGACGTTCTCGAGAGCGGCGCTGAAGAGTTTGGGCGAGATGGTGTCGCCCTGTCGAACCCCTCTCTTGACGTCGATGATGACCTCCTTGTAGAATTTCACAAGGAGGTGTCAGCGTTGGTCAGTGGATGTCACTGCAAAAGGCTATCATGAAGTTTATTGATGAATTGGAATGCGCTCTTGATCAGTTTTCATCCTGCGATTGTTAATAATGTTCACAGCAGCGTATAGCCCTTAAATGATTCCGCTACTGCTGGCCATATCGTCCCGCCTGGTGCCTTCTCCATCGTAGTAGAGCTTAACGCCCTCTACGGTCTCCCTGGCCTTAGCTTTCTTTCATCGTTTCTCTCAGAGCCATAGATTCGGATGCTTCTGCGCATTAGATGAGCAACCTCTCGGGACTTCCCAGTTAGCGATCCTACGTTCAGAGTCCCTATTCGAACTAGCTTCTTTGGCCGAGGCCGTTCACTCCTCGGTAGCCCTCGCATACTGACCACAGAACTCGGGCGGGGGTTCTGCGCGCCACTTCCGGGTGACGTCCTAGCTTTATCAAAGCTTTCAAGTTTTCGTAACGTGCGGTCATGTTGCTCGCGATTTTCCCTTCACGACCTCTACCTTCACCTCTTCTTGCCTATCGAGGGATTCTCGACTGTTATTTGCCTTGGCTCTAGCTTCCTCCTGTAGGTTTTTTTTTCAATGTAGGAATGCTTTTTTATTGACAATATGCATCAATCATTTTAAAACGTACTGAGGAAATGATGGTTATATACATACAATTTTGCTAAAAATGTGCATGAGTATCAGCAGAGAAATGAATATTATGTGTTAATTATCACTTTTATTCACTGAGCAAGTATAATAAAGGCACAGATTGGAGAGCTGTAGCCGTCATAGTGTAAGGAGCAATAAAAATAAACTTTTGAAAGAAGAAAAAACCTTAAAAATAGGAAAAATTAGAATGAACAATACTTGTGCAGAAGCAATCCTTAGTGTGGTCTTCGTATCGAATTAAGAATATTCAAGAGTTTGCAATAGTAGGGTTGAAAACTTCACAACTTTGACAAGAGATTATACACGCACACCCATGGTCCAACTCGTGTTCAGCATCGGGACAGCGTAGTGGGACACATTTGGTTGTCTGATTGACCACAGCTTCGGAACGAGTCTAAAGATGAAAGCTTTTATTTTCAATCAAATAATCAATTATTATGTCACTGTTCGGGGCCTATCCCCGTTGTCCCTTCACGATGTACTGTAAAGTCAGCTTTAGTCTCTCATCGCCAGACCGACTAGGAGGATCGAACGCATCTAAGCTCCGGGTGCGGTTTTAAATCAGACTTCCTTGAGAGGACAGGTGTTGTCTTGAAACTCTACTATCCGCAGTTCCTGTCTGGGGTGCGGCAGCTTCCGGAAAGTTACGATCGGAATGCGAGAGCGTGAACCACATCCAAAAAGGGCCAACCATGCGTTGAGCAAATTTCGGAGACAGAACGGCCATCCCTTACGAGTGGACTATTCGGGCTACCCACCTTCAAACCCATTCCTTTGCTCAGTGGAACTTTGTCTCGCCTTACATCTTCTTTCTTTAAAGTTATCAAGCTGAGGAGCGCGGGTAGTAAAGCGCAGATGGGTACAAGACAGCTACACTCCAGCTTGGAACACTGCTAACAAAGGAACCCATGAAGCAGGGGGAATACAGGGGAGACAGAGGGTTGGGTGCGCACTTTGACGTGAGGCAAAAGCTGGATCGTTGGATTTCATAGTGGTCGCGAGGTTCGGCGAGTGAAAGAGTGAAGACGAGGGCGGCTTGACGCCTTGTAAGGGATCGAACTTAAAGCAACACCCCCAGATCGAATTTGTAAGGTCTAAGCACTTGATAATGAAATTGTGGATGCAGAATTGACTAAAAAGAGAAGAAGAAGCAAAGAAATCGTCGATGAAACTCAAAACGGAAATTCTCCCTGAAAAAGGAAGGGCGTGGTCAGACGAGTTGTGCGAACTTGTCTTCTTAATGGCTCCACTGACCCGCGCGTATTTGAATTAGCCGCTGCGCCGTAATCCACGCTGTGGTTATAGGGTGTGCGCTACGTAATCATCGTCCATATGCTTGAACTAGTCGCCAAACGCTGACTTTGTAAGTCCCTAGCCCGATTAGCGCCATTGTTGCGCTCTTTCGAAGGCGTCAAGCAGAATGGGATCCATGCTGCTCGTGGGTTACTCTATCCGTCACACTGAAAACATTCTTCGACCCGACTTCTGCTGGAGGTTATGCTTTAAGTAGCCCATAGACCGGCTGCATGTGACATGAAAGGGGTGCGAAAAACGCGAAAATTCGAGGATTCTTCGAAACTTCGATTTCCGCGGTTTTTTTGGGAATACGCTTCGTATAATGTATGCTATACGAAGTTATTACGGTACACATTCCATTTACTGTGATCTTCCCCCTATAATAATCAATACCCAGTAAATACCGTAATTTCGATCAAGTTATTCAAGGCCGATCACTAGTTGCTTTGTCTGCTTTATCCGGTTTTCCTATTTGATTTCAATGAAAACTGTTAAAAATCAACTTACTGAAATTAATATTGTGCTGGTTGTAGTGCATCTGCAAGGCTAAATGCTCCGATTGTGGACATCGTGGATACGGTAAAAATTGCAGCGATTCCAGACCTTGAAAAAGCTTCAGTGAAAAGGTGTCAGCACACCGTTCGAATGGCCCTGATTGAGTTTCTTAAGCTTCCATTTAGTGCAGTAGTCTAGTTCTTGATCTTACTCTTAATCCAACAGTTTAATTCGGTGCGATTTTTTCTACTCCATACGTCGTTTCTGGGGTCACACAAAGTGCATAGAACTATTGACGACACTCTCATAGAAGCTTTGGACCACCTTGTAGCGACATAGTGATTACCCAGGTTCCGCAGAGCGTGGGACATGGATAAATGTCTAAATGATTCATTAGCTCGATCTCGTGGTTATGACAGTTGGGGGAAATTGGACAAATTGGCTGTATTACTTGGTAATTTGGTCAAACGGCACGGCAGCACATACTCTTTCAGTCCTAGCCATGGTCGACCATCCGTCAACCAGCCGATTCAAAATTATTCTCAGGGGGTTTTCACATGGCTCACCACCTTACTTGGAGGTGTAAAGACCCGTTCTCGTCATCTGACCACCATCATGATTACTTCTATAGCCCAGCTCCAGCTCCACCCTAGAATTTCCAATTCCCCTCAATAAAGCAGACGTACGGCGGGGTTGGGAAGAGGGTATAGCAAGTCACCTAAAAAACTGCAAACGCTCTACTTCTGCCATTTACATTAATTTTCGCAAAAATGTGAAAACCTGTCCAACGTTCCCGCCCCTTCTTTCACAACAATACGATCCCTCTGAAAACCATCAAAAGCATGAAAACCAGAAGTGCGACTCCTACCGAGAATCCCAAATCACTTCCCGCTGGACTAGGCACAACGGTCGCTTAACTCTAACTTCAGCTCTTACTTATTCCAGTTCGAATTTAATAGTTCAGCCTACGAAATGTCTATTGTGCTCAAGCTAATCCTAGCACTAACAATGTTGATTTGCAACAATAATGGGTTCTCAAAAATTTCAGAGTATAGCGAAGGGTTCAAGGAACAACCCTGGGGTCTCGTGCAACCACCTTTCTAAGTTGGAGCAAATTTATGTGATTACTTGCTGGAAACGCTCTCGCGGATTAAAGACGTCGGTGGTCTTTGGATAGGTTGTTTGGGTAGGTTTGTGAGTGCGTACCTTTGGGAGTCTTACTGCGTAGTATACGACTGATGCTGCTGACGGAAGGCACACTATCCTTATTGCAAATCCCGTCGTTTACAAGTCGATCTCGGATTTCCCATGAGAAAATTCCTGGATCTGAGTACTTCAATAGGCGAATGTACTCGACTACCTGAAACAAAGGAAGTCTCAACGGGAATGTAGGACAATCATTTATTCAAGGTTATTTGTTCCTATAGCATTATAGAATGCCATAGGTTGTATGTCTTCCTTTTAACCTTACCTTTGGCGTCGTCACTCGCGGCTTACTTCCACCGATTGTGCCCGGTTCGATTGATCCCTTTTCCACGTACCTAAAACCATTTGTGATTGATTCCCGTCTATGCAATTGTGGCGCAAATGGCGCAACGACTTAAGCCGCCGCTCTGTTGACACGTTGTTTACTCCTCGTTTTACACCCAGATCGATCCTCCGTGATGTCCACCGTTTCATGTTACTAATAAATTCGAAGTTATACGGAGAGTAACTGGGGCTCTAGAAGGCAGTTTCCTCCTCCAGGCATGCTCCATCTTTAGCGCCATTCGGCCGAGGTGGATTCTCATCGAGACGGGATGGCGCGAGTTCTCGAGGAATCGGAAGCACGTAACCGATTGCTTTAGGCTTTTCAGAAGATAAAGGCATGTGACTGAAGTTACTCGTTTCTTCAAGAACGCATAATGAACGCGACGCGACCCTCTGCATGCAGCCAGATATATTGTTGTTTGTAACATCTGTAGAGAAATTTTTTGAAAGTTTTAGTTACGAATTTGAAATTTTTGTTATGAATTTGAAATTTTAGTTTTTTTATAATATTTTTCACTGATTTACACGTGTTTTTTTGAATTTCACAAAGGGCAGCGTTGGGGCGCCACTGTTAGCCACCGTGATCTGTTGGTGGAGCCCCATCTCCCTCGCTCGACCTCCTTTCAAGCCAACCAACCACCCATACTTCAAGTTCGGTCAACTGGCACCAGATACTTTTTCCAAGGCCTCTCTAATTGGCCGGCCTTCGTGAATCGTGAAAAGGCTATATTTCACTACAATTCTGAATGGAAGTGGAATACGTGGCTTATGCCAGGAATTGGACATGCAATTCAAAGCAATTGCAGTTGTTGTTGAAATTCAGGTTTCCCTTCCGAACAAATCCAGCGCTAAAGAAGCTACTTCGGAGCTGCTAGAAGGATTGCTGTTTCGAGGGAACGTAACAAAACGTCTCCTACACATACACTCTCCTTTCTGTGCTTTGCTCGGTTATTTACTCTTAACGATCGCGAACTTACAGAAGTCCGCCAGCAGAGAAAGCGCTTGTGCTGCTTTCTTTTTTTTAGGAAGGCCTATAGTCGGTTAAATCACGCAAAAACGAATTTGGAAATCATGAACACAGTACCCATTGACCCAACATGAATGAATTGCTTCTTAAAGGCAAGCCTTGTCCGTGACTCCAAAAAAGCATGCGTAATGGACATGTGAAACTATCCCTCACGGATGGTTTGGCGGCCTTTCTGATGGAGAATTTTTCATTCTCGCTGTGATGCACCTCCTCAGCAAAAATCCGAATCAACCTCACCTGCTAAGGGATCTTGCTCACACATCCATGACTGATTCTGAGCTGCCGTGAGATGTCGCAAGGCCGAATGCCGGAGTGATGGAGTTCGATGATACGAACCCTCAAAGCCATTGGAAGTGGACGACCGTTCACGAAGAAACCACCCAGCTGGTTCACATCGCCCATCGACGACGGCGATTCGGAAGGAGCTGAAACATTGCCAGCTTTCCTCCTCTGTTTTGAAACCGATTTTGCCGAATTTTGAGCAAACTCAAGCTCAACGCTGCCTGAATGAATCAAATTAGACATACCGTAAGACGTCGCGGTCCATTGAGGCGAATCGTAAGCTGGCCAATAGCTCATCGCCGCGCTTCACTGACCAGCGAGCCGATGCGCTTCCGTCTATGGCTCCGCCCTTGCGAAGGACAGTAGACCACGCCTTCCACTATGTGCTGTTTTACGAGGTCAAATCGAGTTCATGTTGACTACAGTGATTACTAACAGCGAAGCTACCCTAAAATGTCTCTACACACTGCGTGTTGAGGAATATGGTTCTGGAATGCATCTCAATAAAAAAATTCAGAAGCTGTATAGTGGAGTGCTCCTCGGCAAAGATTTTTCTATATTAGATGTAAAAAAAGTTGTCAATATTGTATTGTCCCTTTGAGCCCGCCATGCCAGCGACTTTCATCGAGTTGTTACTTTTTCAGTATTATTTATTTAAGTTGAACCTTTCTGCCCAGTAGTGCTTTGCTGGGACCGCTCCATGTATGCAGTGATATACAGTAGCGGTCAAAAGTGTTCGCCGAAACGATTTTCAGTGCATTATTTTTTCTCGCTTGAGCAACGCCCTCCAAAGATTGATATACTATGTTTTCTAGTGTTTTTATATCCTCAAGTCTTAAAGAATCAGGATATTCAAAAGAAAAATTTTCGAGGCCACCATTGATTTTTTCTGGCAAAAAAAGAGAAGCACGAAAACCGTTTCGGCGAACACTTTTGACCGCTACTGTATATGTATGGTTCCAAGTAAATCTGACATCAATATTTTCATCTTTGAAAAACAGAGCGTTGTGGCTCAAACCATGCAGGTGGTGAGCAGTCTGTCTCAAGAGCTGCTCCACTCCAGAAGCTTGATAATACTAAGGGAACTTGTGTGCTAGTACTGAATAATTTTGCTATCATATATTGTTGAAAACAGCTCAGTAAGAAGCTTGACTGGATGGCAAAATCCCTGGACAGTACACTCTAACGTCTCATAAGTTTTGATGCGAGGCCCGGAAATACTATTCAGAATACTCGGAATACTAGTGCACGTTGTTATCCATATGAGGGATGTTGTCATCGTTGCTGAACATCTGAGCTTTGAGATTCCTCTCTGCAATGCGCGCAAAGCAAGGAGTTTTCCTTCCTTGAATTCCTGCAGGACAAGTGTGACTTGTAGCGGCATTCGGCGGGACACTGTCAACATCTGGATTTCTTAAAAAAATCTTGTCGGTATTCGTAGACTGCCTCAAACAACCAGACTGGTCATAGAAGTGCTCTTCCGTTTTAAAACGAACAGAATAAGGA